AGCAGGGCCTGTGCCTTAAAAGGAAATTTATCCATGTCTGCTAGGATGTAGGTGCTACACAGACCTTGGAAGCCCCACTTTCTTGAACTGCCCCCCCCCACTGTACCTGAGCAATGAAGTGACAGCCTGGGAGAGCTTTCGCAAAATAAAACTTGTTCATCTTCAAAATGCCATCAGACTCTCAGTTGTTTTTGCTGCACCGTTCCTTCCTTGGGGGGGGAAAAAAACCTTCTCGGACTACATTTCCTGGAAATCCTCGCTACCCTGAGCCATGCGGGCTGGAGAGTCTGTAAAGACTAGTCTTTTAAAAAGTCACTTTTCCAAGTTCTGACCTACCGAGCTCTTTCAAGACCATTTTTAGGACCCAATGCCTGTCAGTCTACTCAGGAGTCAATCTTTCTCCATTCCACAAAGCTGAAGGCCAAGGCAAGGTTCGCATTCACGAAGCATTGAGAAAATTCCTAATGCTACTTTTCCTTTAATAATGGCAACTGTTAGATATGGGAGGGAGCAAAGGGGCTGCAACTTGAAATTCCTTTTGTCAGAATTAAAGGATCTTTTCCAACCTCATCGGTCACTGGACAGGAACTAGACCTCCCAAGCTGCAGAAGGGCGGGTGCAAAATATGCCATAGTGCTCTTTGCTTCTGGTTTTTTTTTGTTCCCCCCCCTCCCATTAAAAAAAAAACAGGAATAGCCCTTCACATTTTTATTTGCAGAAATGGGAGCGGGGTGGGGGGAATTGCAGGCACAGTTGCACTCCTTGGATAAACACGAAGATTCCAGGTTTCCCAGGAATGGGTGCAGAGATATATTTTTAAACACAAGGACAGCCTTTCCAGTTGGAGAGCACGTGTGAAAGAGGGCCTTTATGGACCTCGATTTCCAGTAGACCGGGGTTTGGAAATGGACCGGCAGCATCAACAAGACCAGGTAGATTCCACTGTTTTTTTTTTATTAAAGGCTTGTGATACACATTTATAAGCATAAAATGGACAGGGAACTGCAAAACAAGGGCACTCAGCCGCCAGAGAAGGAAGGCGTTCATTCACGAAGCGTGACTTCCCGCGGTCTTCCTGGCTTCTTTGAGCGAGGGCGACGGCTGCCGTACAGTTCGGATTTTAAAAGCCTAAGGATAGGATGCCCAGCATCCTCCTCCATGAGACGACACAGTCAGTCGTGATAACCTACACAGTCTTAAAAGCACTGTCCAACACAGGCCCAGTTTACTCCCTGGAACCTAAAAGCCAAACCAGGCCAAGACAGGGTCGCGTTCTGCTGGGCCTAACAAGTCTCTTCTGCCGGCCTCCCTCAGTGCGGCAGGGGCAGATCCGTTTCCCCACTGGGCTGTGAAAGGAGGCGAGAAAGACCTCGGTGCACCAGGGGCCTGAGGGGCGCCCCGTCTTCCACGCTCTCGGCATACGCCCGATGGAACTGCACCACGGGCGATGGAGGGGGAGCCTCCGGATGGCCTCGAGGGTCCCCAACCGAACTGGAGAGCTGAGAAGAGGCCGCCGAGGTGGGGGACTCCAAGGGATGCTCGAGGTCTTCCATGGGAATGCACTCCACGCTCGAAGGCTGCCGGGGAGACGGAGGTCTTGAGGGATAAAAGCTGCAACAGCACAGGAGCAGACAGCCAGCAAGGGAAACGCATAACACGGACAGAGCGGCCACCCATCCTGCAAATGGGGGGGAAAAGCCCGTCTGGAGTGCTGGCAGGGACCGCCTCTCCCCGTCCTGCATCCTCACCTGTTTCTTCCACTTTCTCTTCACAGAAGCCACCCTAACCCGCCTTCCCTTCCCTTTGTGCCAACTTGCCCACCCCCATCGCTGTTATTATTCCACGGACTGCAGCAGGCCGCGCGAGCTACGGATGCTCGGTGGTCGGCAGACATAGAGGCCGCGTTAAATCGGTTACTCTTTATTGTGCCACAAAATGCTCGGTTGATTTAGGACGGCTTAGGAAACTGCAGGAATCACCTCC